GAACATTTTGTGTCTGGGGCTGAGAGAAGTGTCTGCAACGTGGAGATCCCTTTCTGTGGACCAAGGCTATCTCTGCCTTAGAGGGGGTCAGCCTTTCGTACATACGCGACCCCCCCAAGCTACTGTTCCCAAAGAACCTGGTTTGTCTCATAACAGAAACAAGAAACTCACTCTATCCAAGAAAGAGAGTGATAGTGTTTGCAGGCATTTAATCATCATCATCTGAGAACAGTAGTGCTGGAAGGGGCCTTACGGATCATCACGTCCAGCCTTGTCAAGGATGCCCCCATGGGGGAATCAAACTCCCAACCTTTGGCTCCATAGCCAGAGAGCTAAACCACTGAGCTATATAGCAGTTCTGTTGCTTTAGTTACCCTTCACAGTACTTTTGAGGGCGTTAAAACTGACATCGCGGCTGAGCTTCATACATATCCAAACCACACTAACTGTTCCACTAGTGGTTCCAAAATTTCATACTACATTCGAGCGCAAATTCCATTATGTTGTATAATTAGCAAAGACAATAGGCTTCAAAATTAATTGTATTATTGGTAATAAATGTTCGTCTCTGGGGCTCAAAAAAGCAAAGAACCCCCCCCCCCCCGGTTTTTCTGATGTTAAGACCCAGCATTCCGTTTCCCGTCCACGGCCCACCTATCACCGGGCGCTTTGCCTCCCTCGCAGGGCGGGAGGTACGCCGGTCGGCTCCCCCGTCTCGTGCTCCGGGCGCTCTGCCTTGACAGACACGCGCTCGGCCTTGACGGATGTCTTCCGACAGCGGGGCTCCCTGCTGGGCCAGAGCGGAACACCGGGCCAGCCGTCACAGGGGCTTAGCCGGGTGGCGGCGAGAAGGGCAGAGGAGGGTCGGAGCCCAGCCTGCCAGCCAGCAGGAGAGGCGGGCTGTCAAAGGGATTAAACCGGCAACGGGTGAGGCGCCCTGTCAGAGCGGGGCCGGAGCCCCCAGCGGGGCGAAGCGGACCTGGCATGGATTTGTCGACAAGGCCCCCCGCCGTGCCAGGCAAAGAGGTTCAGGGGAGGCCCGAGGGCTTAGCAGGCGTACCTTTGGGACTGCTCCCTCTTACGTTACCCAGAGTAGGAGGACGGCTTAGCTGTTTCCGCTCTTGCCTGGCTGGTGTCGGATTCTGCCTTAGATCATTGGCTTGGCGACTGCAGTGGGTGGGGCGGTGGGTGGCGAGGAGCGGTCCCTCTGGCGTGCCAAGGGCCACGGGCCCGAGGGCTTAGGCATAACCTGCTGGGGTCCACCTTTGGGACTGCTCCCTCCTGCGTTACCCAGAGTAGGAGGACGGCTTAGCTGTTTCCGCTCTTGCCTGGCTGGTGTCGGATTCTGCCTTAGATCATTGGCTTGGCGACTGCAGTGGGTGGGGCGGTGGGTGGCGAGGAGCGGTCCCTCTGGCGTGCCAAGGGCCACTGGCTCTTTGTCAGTGGGCCAATGGCTGGCTCGCCTTGGGCCCTTGGGTGGGTCTTTAGGTGGCCTCTCGTTTGTCCTCTCCCTGGTGTCCACCCCCTGGCTTGACCCACCTGTGTCCCATGGTCCTCCTGATGCACAGAAACCTTCCTTGGAGGGAGGCAGACCCTCCTCCCCCCCCAACAGGGTGCCCGTCACACACTTCTAGGGCCGCCTCCGCTCCAGAACTGGGGGGAATCCTGGAATGGGCTCCAAAGTAGTGACCTCTTGATCCGTAGAAAGACCTAAGAGAACAAAACATATTACGTTAAGTCCGTGTGCATTTTGAGTCCCACTTGCGTGTGTATGTGTGTGTGTGTGTGAGAGAGGGGGGGGATCAGAGTATGGAGATGTTTAGATCCCTTGAACTATAACGGCAAGGTCCCAGAGTACTGTATGGAGATGTTTAGATCCCTTGAACTATAACGGCAAGGTCCTTGAGCCAGCAATGACCCTGCCTTCGCCCGTCTTCCCTCTTGCAGCGGCGCTGATGACCTCCTTCCGATCCTCTCCTACGTGGTCCTCAAAAGCAACCTGCCCCAGCTGGTCTCGGAGTGTGCGGCGCTGGAGGAGTTTATCCACGAAGGGTAAGTGGTGGGGGGGTCAACAGTGGGGGGACAGCACAGGACCTTCTCCTAACTTCTGAATATTGTTAAAATATGAATAAGGTAAGGTCTCGGCAACTCCTGCTGGCTGGTCCCCACCCCCCTGTCATGAGCCACACTGGGCCCCAAAAGGACCCAAAAGTAGGAATTTAAAAAAGGAAATAAAACAAAGTAAAACAAAAGAAAACCAGAAGGGACTGAATATCCCCAGTTTTGTTTGGTGTGCTGGGAGGGAGGGAGGGAGGGATGGTGCCTTGGTCTAAAAACAAGTATTTTGGAGCAGCAGGATGGTGGGAGGGACAGAGGGAGTGGTTATGTTTTTTGCCCTGAGCTCAGGAGCTGCAGCCCTCCAGGAAGGAAAAAGACTGTTTCTCTGGATGCCTTAGAAAAGCAAATGTTATGTTTTTGTATCTGGCACATGGGGCAGGGGGGGCACCTTGGGCTCTCTGGCCGCCATTTCTCCAGAACGGCCAGAGATGGTGCCTTTGTCTAAAAACAAGTATTTTGGAGCAGCAGGTACAAAAATAAATATTCAGTGTAGAGAAAGCAAACATAAATCAAGTGAAATGGAGAGGTGTAGAAAGGGCTTCCGCCAGGTACGAGAATGCCAGTTCCAGCGGCCTCGGTGGCTGTTCCAGTGATGATCCTTTTGTTCTTCCAGGTCTCATCCCAGTTAGTGCTTTCCCTGTTTTTTCTCAGGTGGGAGGCTGTTGCTTGGAAAGAACAAGGTGTGGGGACTTGGTGGAAGGTCTGTAGAAGAGGGCAGGGAGGTGACCTGCAGCCTTCAAGGGTTTAATGCCCGACACACACACACCCCAGCAGCCTGTTGCAGTAAGAAGCTGCCTTACGCCATGTCAGACTCTTGTTCCATTGAGCCAGATCTTGGGGAAGGTGGCCAGTGGGCCAGACAGGCTGCAGGGGTGGCCAGTGGGCCACACGGTTGGGTGGCATCCAAAGCGGAATCTTCCCACGATTCTCGATCGTTAACCTTAGCCTCCTCCCAACCTCCCCGTCTTGTTGGGTGAGAGGCTGCCCTGGATTATCCGGACTTCTCCCCCTGCCTCCTCGTTTGGTGGCCTCTCCGCTCTTGTGGGGGAGGACGGTTCTCCCCCGTGCGGCTTGAGAGAAGGCCGGGTCTCGAAAAGTCTTGTGCCCGTGGTTTGCCCTCCTGCTCACCCTCCTCCTCGCCTCGTCTGCCTTCCTCCGGGGTGGGAGATCCGCTGCCGCCATCGTCTCCGCCTGTCAGCTCGCCTTACACGGCCTGCTGGCTCCCTCGGCTCGAGCGAGACGCGGCCAGCATGTGGGCAGCCAGACAGCCGAGGCCTAATCTGACGGGACGGTGGCTCAGCTTGTGATGGAAGGGGAGTCTCGCTCCCGCTGCCATAAGACCGTCTGAGTCGAGGATAACGACGTTCCCGCCTTCCCTTCCCTGGCTTTGTTCTCTCTTTAGTCCAGGAGGTGTCCGCTCTGCAGGACTCTGCCCTTCTTCCTAACGGCCTTCTCTACCCCTCGCCCCAAAAACGCCCCTTTGCGTGCGATTTCAGAAGCTAGCCGAGGCCATACCTTCCGAACTTTTCCAACTTGGATGAGGCACCACCAGAGGGGTCTCCACCAGAGGCAGGGCAAAGGAGGGAATCTCTGCTCTGAGGCCCTGGAGGGCTGATGCTGCCCATCAGAGTTAACATTAAGGTGTTCAAATGGTCAGACTTGATGGAAGGCGGCTTCCTCGCCTGAAGCAGAGATGGGCAGAATGGAGACGGAGATTTATCGGAAGGTCTTTGGCTGGTTGGCAGTGAAGATCTCAGGAGGACTGGCCATCTTACCTGCCCTCCTCTTCTGCCCACCAGGGAAACCGGGCGGCCCTGACCTCCCCGACTGCCTCTCAACATGTGGCCTGCTGAGCCGCTCCTGGTTGATACCGGAGGTCCAGGGGTGGCCCGTCCCCAGATCTTCTTATTCCGGTCACTTCTGGTTTTGACAAAAGCCCACCCTTAGGCCTGAAAGAAGCCGGGAGGGACAAAAATAGAGCACCGTTTATCCCCTCCCCAGCAGCGTTAAATATTGCAGGGTTCTTTTTAAGTTCAAAGAAGGGAACCACTCCTTATCGGGGTGGGGGAACAGGACGGGGGGGTCATGGGAGTCAATGCTCAGCTCAAGAGCCAGGAACCTCAGGCGCTTCCCTCCCGGAGCAGCCTCGTGGGGGCTCAGCGGTCCAGCCTCTCCCCTTCCCCCCTCCGCCGCCCAGGGATGCTGGAGGGCTCTCTCTTGTTTCCTTGCAGGTATCTGATTGGGGAGGAGGGCTATTGCCTGACCTCTCTGCAGAGCGCCCTCTCCTACGTGGAGTCCCTGCACAGGCCCGTCCTGGAGAAGGAGCTGAAAGCCCCGTCATCGTCGGGTCGCCCGGAGGACTGACGTTCCCGCTGTCTCCCTCCTGCCCCTCCGCTCCTGGGTGGGGTGGAAGAGCAGGTGCTTCCCACCGAAGGAGGCTTCCGCCGCAGCCATCACGACCTTCTCCCTTGCCTGCCCGAACGGAAACTTTGCTGGGGTCACAGGGCCTCCTCCTCCTCCTCCTCCGGCCGCACCAGACTCCTCTGTGAAATATGGGAAGCGGGTCCTCGCGGCCTTTCGGCTCCCCCCCAAAGGGCTGCAGGTGTGCTTGGCCCGCAGAGGGGCAGGGGGCGGCCCCACCTTGACTGTGAAGGAGGCTCGGTCTGGTCTCAGCGAGCCGGTCATTGCTGCTGAAACTTTGCTTCCTGTGGCTTCTGCACCAGCGAGCANNNNGGGGGGAGGTGGCCTGCACCCCCCTCCTCTCTCCCACTGCACTAAGGGGGGAATCTGTAATCTCTCCCCCAGCAGGACCCTTTGGGTCACGGCAGAGGCCAAGGTCTGCCAGCCGTTTCTCATCCCTGCAGCATTCTTCTGAGCCTTTGCCAGAGAGCCCTTACGAGGCCCTCCCTGATCGCTGCCTGATCCCCCCCCAAGTCTGCATGAGCCCCCCCCCCTTGCCTTGCCACTTTCACCATATAGGGCAGCTGAGGACTGGGTGTTGCTGTGGGGAGGCTCAGGGCTTGGCCAGAGATGTTTGAACTGTGAGTTAAGGGAGCAAACGGTGTGAGTGTGTGTCTGTGTGTGTTCATCCGACCTGCACTCAGTGAAGGCGGGTGTGAGTGAATATTTATCTACCCCTGTGTCCCACCCACCCCCACTCCCCGAACCCCATGTTCCTGCTCTAGGTTGTAGAGCCTGTGCCTGAGGAGGGAGAGGAAGTTTCCTCCAAGTCTAAAACAAAAGGGCCTGAAAGATGAGGGAAATGTGGGTTTGAAAGTGTGAAAGAGAGAAACCGCCTTGTTTACCGGAAATGGACGGGGGGAGCCAAGGAGAAGCGAGGGATAAGTGGGTAGGGTCTGGGCTTTGCTGGAACCAGAAAGATGTTGCTTCCTGAGATGATGGAAGTTGTGGGACCGTCCGCTTGGAGGAGGTTTGGGGGCTGGTGGATGGGACAAGAGAGGCCTGGCCTGACGGGCGTCTCTTCCGTCTCAGCCCAGCACCCCTGAAGCCAGAGGGAGGGAAGGGCGAAAAGGCGGAGACCCACGGCTGTTCTTGGGGACCTGTGCTGCCTTCCCTGTTCAATGTTAGCCCGTCCTCACAGCCCTCCTTGGCCGTCCACGGAAGCTCAAGGCCCTGGGGGGGGGTGCAACCTCCCGGCCACCTGCCAAGCTCTGCTCTGAGATAAACACACCTTCAACCTGCTCGGGAAATTCTCGTTATTTGGGGCGGGGAGAGGTGGGTGGAAATCGGCGGCGTATCTTTGTGCCTCTGTGTGTTCCCAAGCCCACGGGGAGGGGAGGGCGCGGATCATTGCCTAGCCCCCCCTGTGAGGGTGGTGTGCAAGTTGGAGCATGGCCGTTTCGCTGAAAGGAGAGGGAGGATGATTAGGACGCAGCATCTCTCTTTGAAAAGTCCAGGGGAGCCCCACTGATCCGTCTGGGCCAGGCTGAAGTTTCCAGTGGCTTAGCCCGTGGCAAGGGGTAATGGGAATTGTAGTCTGATAGCAGGAGGACCCCAAAACCCCATATAGATGATTCAGAATGTTTTCCCTAAACAGGGAGGACAACAACGAGCGTCGCTCGGGTATTCCATGATTCTGTGTTAACCGTGGGGGCCCTTTTCCGGAGAACGTACCGTCTCTTTCTGCTTGGAAGAGCAAATGTGCCTCCTTTTCCTGCCCCCTTCCCTCCCCCTCTCTGAAGGCAGGCACGTTCTCTGGGAGGAGGGGGGTTGATGAGGAACTGGACTCCAGATGAGGAACCCCCCCCCCCAGGGCAGGTCTGGCATTCTTCGCCATTTTTGCCCTGCTGCTTCGACAGCCCTGTTCTGGACGGATGACTGGGCGTGGGCTTAAAAAGAGGTCTTCCTTGAGCTAGGAGGCTACTCTGAGGAGTCCCCCTCGCGCCCTCTTATGCAAAGGTCCCCAATTAACGTGTTTTCCCCGCACCCCCAGCTCCTGCTGACTTTTTTAACCATTCTGCTCCCCAGCCTGTGAGCAGAAACCAAACCACCCCAAAATGCACAGAGCCTTTTTCCAGAAGGCAGTTCTGAAAAGATGGCCTTATTAGGATGGGCTGGTTTTCTTAGCTGCCCTTGCCTGAGAAAGACCTCGGGTACCTTAGAAATAAACTGCACAAAAGTTAGGAACAACGGCATGACGTAAGAACAGAAAATGACCCTTTTGCCTACCCCCCCCCCACCAAGGATGGGGATAATCGGAAAGGAAAAGAAATGCACACTGGATAATGTTTGGGGCTTATTAAATATAAGAAAAGGTTTATTAAAAGGTGCCAGAGGCCATAGAGTGGGGCTCACATAATGCAGAGGAGAGACATGCAAGGCTGGTGGGGGGGGGACGCCGTATCGGGCACCTTCTTTCTCAAGCGGGAGGCACCATGTGACATTTCCAGCAGCAGGACTCTGTTCAGGGGAAGGGGCCGGTAGCAGAATGAAAAGGTTAGCTCTTTAGGGCAAAGGAGCCCTCGTCGCTTGAGATTACGGCTGCCTGCAATGCAGGGAGCCAGCCAGCCGGAGCCTTTCACTGGCCTAGCAAGGAAAGGCAAACTGAAAACCACGGGGCATGGCCGTGGCCGCCCCTCCCTTCTCTCCAAAAGCTGTGAATTTGGCTTTGCTTACTTGCAAATCCCCTGGGAAGAGGACAGGTGGAATGGACACAAGATTCCCTCTCTTTCTCATCCTTAACCATCCAAGGCCCAAACAGAGAAGATGGGCAGTTTCCCAATTAGGAAGGGATGAAATAAAATCTCTTTTCCCCACCCCACAGCCCCAGAGAGCATTCTTCACAGCTGCTGGGTTTTGTTCCATTATTTTCTCCCACTTGATCAAAGCCTGGTGTGCAAATCCATCAAAGATCTCAGAGGATCACCACACCCCCTTTAGTCCTTGAGTCAGCTCGGCTTCTAATTGCGTAGCTCCCTGTCTTGTCTGTTTCGGCCTCATAAATAATGAACGTCGTCTTCCTCGCTGGATAGCCCTTGTGCCACGAGAACGATGTGTCGGCCGCTGAGGTTTGGGTGTACATTGCACACAACTTTTATATATAGTTGCTGCCTTGCTCTGCAGGAGAAGCAGCTGCTGAGGCTTCCTGGCAGAGGGGACCAAGGAGGGTCAGGAAAGGCCCTAAGAGGAGGGGGGGATTTGCAGCCGGAGGGGGTTGAGGGCTCAGATCTTCCCTTCCAGCGCCAGGGTCTTCAGGTCTGCAGGAGAGTTGGCGCTCAGCACTGTATGCGAGACGATCCTCTTCTCCACCAGGGAGGCCACGGCTTCTCCCACTTCCAGGTGGCTCACGTAGCCCGGGCCCAAGCGCTCTGGCGTGGTCACTCCCATGTTAATCTTCAGCTGCAGGGGCAAAAAAGAGATGGCAGAGTGGGTACCCGGGAGGGGCCGTCCCACCCCAGTGTGGGGACGGAGAGGGAATTGCTCCCACCCCAGCGGGCACGGCGGGGGGGCCAGCCCCGGCTTGAAAGGAAGAAGCCCAAAGCTTGGAGCCCAGGTGGCCCCACAGCCTGGCTGGCCATGACGCACCTCGTTCAGCTTGCAGGGGACGTCGGGGTACTCCTCGCGCACCATGAGGGAAAAAGCCAAAGCCCCAGCAGCCCCCAGGGTCAAGAAACCCGTGCCCGGCATGAGGAGGCGCTCTCCTGCCCCTCCTGGAACAGAGAAGTCCCATTAGCCACCGTTGTCTTTGAGAGAAGGAGCAGAATCGCAGGACGGTAAGCTTTGGGAGAGGCTTCGAGGGGTCATCTAGTCCAGCCGCCTCCTGACCCAGGAAACCCCCAGCTGTCAGAGGGTTCACCACCACCACCACCACCACCACCTCTGTTCAAAAGTCGGGAGGGAATCTCTTCTGCACCAGCGTGGCTGGTATCGTTCAGGCCCCGAGCAATGTCACTGCTTAGGTTTGACTGTACGACCCCCACACCATTTTCTGTGCCCTGAAGACTAGGCCAATTTCTGTTCATCATCAGGAGGGTCGAGGTGGCCCATGAAGCTCAACAAGAGCTACAATCGGAAGAAAGAGGCACCTTGTATGTGCCAGCAAAGGTTTTTATTTTGTCTCTCTCCAAGACTCCTCTGCACCTGCTCAGCTCAGCGGCTCACCTGTGATGAAGGTGTAGGACCCATCGGGGTTGTCCTTGACCAGGGGGAAGAAAGCCTTCCAGGCGGTGAAGGTGCTGAGGAGGAGGGTGTCCAGAACCTGTCGGGGGGGGGAAGGACATTGAAAGGATGCTTAGGACCAATCTTCAGTCTCCTGTACCTGCACCCACCTCTTTGGGAGACCCCGAAACCTCTGCCCATCCACCACATGCCCAAACCGTTCACGAAACATCATTTCAGCATGGCCCTAGACCTACTCTCCAGCTTTTCTGCAGCGCGGGTGGCCACGTGGCCGGCTGCTTTGACTCCCGGCCAAGACAGAAGCCTTGGGCTTAGAAGACGACAGAGGACCCGGGCACCACCCACAGAGATGGTTGACAACACGCCAAGGCGAAACGACAGCAAAACTCAGATCAATTCAATCCGGTTTGCAGGCCATCTTTATGTCTGTGACAGATCCTGAAGGATCACCTCTAGTGTGGGCAATTTGGGGATTTCCAGCAGCCCCACAACGCAGGCTGGTGACTTTGGTCGCAGAAAGGACCCCCAAAGCAAAACAACCGCCTCCTCTCACAAGGGATCGGCTTATTTCTCCTTGCTCACCCGGTGCAGCTCCGTGAGCGACTGAGCGAGAGGGGGGCCCCCTTGCCACCAACTGAAGCCCAAGGAGGAGACCACGTCCGTCACCTTCCCCACCTCCTTCAGCAGGGCCCGCTTGGCTGCCTCCGCCCCATCTTCAGACCCTGGAAGGAAGGAAGCATATTTTCTTTATTTACTTATTTTATTTATTTAACTTATATGCCGCCCACACTACCCGAAAGTCTCTGGGTGGCTTACAACATTTAAAATACAATAAAAAGGCAAAATAAAAGGGCAAAATAATTAAAATGCAATTAAAAATATATACTCTAAAAATCGTCTTCAGACCCACAGCTGATATTATTTCAATTAAAAACCTTCTGGAACAGAAAGGTTTTGACCTGGTGCCAAAATGTCATCAGCGTCGGCGCCAGATGAATCTCAGTCGGGAGGGCGTTCCATAGTCTGGGGGCAGCTGCCGAAAAGGCCCTTTCTCTACAAGCCCTCCCTCTTTTCTCCTTAAGGGACGGCTCTTTCAAAAGGGCCCCCTGGCACGGGGTCTGCGTGTAAATCCAGACAGCTGACCTCTTTTCATGCATCATCACATTCTGGCATCAAACAGCCATCAAGTCTTCCTCTCCCTCCTTAAGACTTCCACGAAAGCCGCAGAACAGTGTTTGGGAAAGTTACTTGTTTGGACTACAAATAATAATTTTATATATTTTATATTCTATATTGTTCTGTTTTATCTATGTAAGCCGCCTTGAGTAGACATGGTCTAGAGGGGCGGGGTAAAAATCCAATAAATAAACAAACAAACAAACAAACAAATCCCAAACTACTTTCACCACCACCAGCCATGTTGACCAGGCGATTTGGGGCACTGTAGTCCACAAAGAAACCTTTCTGTTTGAGATCACATTATTGATGGGGCATGCAAGTGGCCTGCTTGCGCAAGCATAAAGCCGGAATCCTGTGGTCCCGATCCGGCTGTCCTCACACCATCCTCTCTGCATTGGCAAGCGGCTGGTTGCTGTGGTTAGAGTGGAGGGGTGATATAGGTCACAATCGCTTTAGCCTAACCCTTTATCTTTTTTCTAACATCTGTATCCTGCAGCTGGATTTTTAAATGCAACACCACAAACTTAGCAAGATTTAAATCCTGAAATGTGTAAAATCTCTCTCTTTTCCATGGTAGGGAGCGACGTGCCGATCTCTTTTGAATACTGCCTGCTTTGGCTTTCTTCTCTCAGCGCAAATTGATCACAAGTCATGCAGTTGCTCGGTGCCAGCAATCCTCCTCACTTCTTGTTTTTTTTAAAAGCAAGGACATTTAAATGTTGCATTTCAAAAAGAACGCATGGAGCGAGTTAAAGTTACAGTAGTGGAAGGAGGAGTGGATTCTAGTTATTCCCAAATGTTAGATCTAATTTTAATTAATTAATTAATTGAAATGTCGTACCCCTTTTATCTGGGTAAGTTTTTAAACATTTCAGGGAAAACATAACAAAGAAATAAACTGCAACCAGTAACACAAAGAGGTGTGTTTTTCCCCCCCGCCTATCTAAGAGAATGCCTTATAGCCATTTTCAGAATTTTATTCCATTCTTTTATCTGCACAAATTGTTTAAAAAATCAGTAAAAATGTAAGGAAGAAATAAACTGTAACTAGTAACACAAAAGAACTGCTCTTTTTTGCCCATTGTAATGGGGAACAACAATGATATGCTTTTAAATTTTTTCTTAATGAGTGAAGAGGGCAAATTACTCCTCCCACAAATAAAATAAGCTTCCCAAACTTGGCCCCAACAAGACAGCTAGCTTCCATTGCACAATAATGGAAAAACCATTATTGGTTGGTTTTTTTGGGGGGGTCTTTGCCCCAGCGGCAACTGCCTTTCTGTCGCGTCCTCCCAGTCCCCACAAAGAGAGCATTTCTCTTCTCCGCACATGGTAGCAGCACGAACAATAGCAATGCCCCATCTTTGCTGGCCCTCGGAAGATTATGTTTCTGGCCGTAGGTGGCCTTTCTTACCCACGTCCCCGACCAGTGTGTGCAGTCGGTCGCAGGCGGATCCCGACAAAAACTCTTTCAGCTTCTCCAGTCTGCCTCCTTCCCGGGAAAGGACAGCCACCTGGAAGCCTGCACAGTTGACAAGAGAGTCAGGGTAGCCGGGAGGCAATGCTGCCGGATTGGTGCCCCACCCGACTGGATGCAGGGCAGTTGGCAGGACAGCTCCATCACGGCTTTGGCACCTGTTTTTACTGCCAGCGTTCAGGAGTTTATAATGCCATGGGAAGCAACGCAATTACCTGCTCCAGGTGACTTGAGGTGGGGTAGGGTTAACCAAGTCCCCAGCTGAAAAGCACACCAAGCCAGGAACAATGCTGCTTTGTCGGTGCAACAAGTACAGTAACACTTCCCAGTTACTTCCAACTAAATTGTTCTGAATGCATCCTGGAGGGAACCTTTCCTATGATTCGCCATTCCCTTCCCACTCTTAAAGGGATATTTAAAAAGAAAAAGATTTTAAAACCTGGAAAAACACTGAAACAGGTACCACAACACAGTAAATTTCAGACTACAACCGTCATTAACGGCAACTTTTGAAATCACTAAAAGGAGAAATGGGAGAAAACCGCTTTGTAGAAAATAACTCTTGAGCTCTAGTTTCAATACATCCAATGCCCCTGGTAACATGGCTTGGCTGTGAGATAGATGGCCATGCTCACATCACCCTGTATGCATGTTTCTTCCATACCCACACACAGCCGCACATAGGCATATGCATGCACACATGTATCTGGTCCTTGATGCCAGCTTTTGGGCAGCCTACCTTTCTCCAGCAACGCCTTGACAATCCCGGAGCCCACCGTACCAGCTCCACCCAACACCAATACCACCCGGTCCGATGGAGACATCCTGGCAAGGAGAGACGGGCCGCCACACTGCTCCAGAGATGAGCCCTGAATGGCAAGTGTGGCCGTGGTGGCCACGCAGGAGAATAAGTAGCACCTAAGAGCCCCACCTCCAGGAAGGCTCAACCCACCCACCCTCCTCTCTCTCCACCTCCTCGGTTTCCTTTGCCACTGGTCTCTGGCAAAGAAGAGGGGAGAAGCTCGTGGCCTTGGCTTCATGAAGGGGCCGGTGCATCAGGGAGAGAAAAGGCCCTCCAGAGTCCCACGCAAACCACGTGCCTAGAAGCACTCTTCCTAATCAAAACCCTGAAAGTTCCTTACTGGGTTGCTAATAACACCGCTTCTGAGCTTCACTTTCTGTGCCTGCCTCTCTGGGGCCCGGGATATTCGCCCACCTGTTTCACGCCATGCGCTTGACCACCGTGACCCACAGAGGTTCATGCTGAGACAAAGCGATTCCAGGGCCACGACTCTCGAGGTCTTCGTAGGTTGGTTTGCTTGCCTGCTTTTGTGCCGCAAGCCGATGAACCCCGTTTGCGCTTTATGCAGACCAGCCTAGGGTGAGATGTAGCTTATTTATTTATTAAATGTATACCCTGCCCATCTAGACACAAGTCTACTCTGGGCAGCTAACAATAAAAATGGAATAAAAACGGTAGAATAAAATAAAAAGCGTCGATAGTAATATGGTTCAAGATGGGGAAAAAATAAAAATAGCTTGTGAGGTCCTGGGTCCTGGAAACGGAGTGGCCATCGATGCTGGGATGTTTCCTACCCATAAGCACGGTCCCTGTTTCTCCCTCACCCCCAGATTGAGCAAGGAGGCTCTGTGGCACTGCCCGGCCTCCTAAGGTGGCCCCTCCGTCTCTCCCTGGCATTCGCTTCCACATTTGCCAGCCCACATGGACTGCACCCACTTTTCCCTTTATGGCTCTTTTTCTCTGGGCCCAAGACAAGCATGTGTGTGTGTTGGGGGGGGAAGTTATTGAAACAGGTAAATTGATGTGGCTGCATAGCCAGAGGTTCTCCCCTGCCCCCCCCCTGCAAAAACGACAAAGAGTTTATTAGCTGACTTCTTTCTTTGCAACGGCTCTGCTCCATCTTTTCTTTTACAGTTGGCTCATGGTGTGTGTGTGCCAGATTCTCTATCCTCACAACATCCAGTCGGAGCATGTATGATGATGGGCCCAAGGCCACTCGGTGAGTTTCACCAGTGGGTGTGGACTTGAACCCAGGGCTCCCGAGAGCTGGTGCAGCATCCTTAAACCACTGCACCACACGCTACAGCCAGATGCATGGAGGGGAGTTGTGCACCACAGATGTTATTTTCCCTTGGGGTGAGGGATATTGGTGCAGGAGGGGTTGCTCCGGATCTTCTGCACGGAGGGTCGAGGCAGGCAAGGCAGGCAGGCAGCGCTAGCTCAGAATTAAGCTCCTCCACCCAAGGAACTGCAAAGCGCTCGGTCTGTCCGGTCCTGCACGTCCAGCCCCGG